AATAATTTAAAATACTTTTAAATTTTAGAAAGAGATATAAAACATTTAATAAAAACAAAGAAATTATTGTTTTGCAAGCAAAACAATTTGTAATTGACTAATAAAATATTTACGGGAAAATAGATACTCATATACAACATTTAACTTCACGATCCATGTGGACATCTTTAAATTAAATATTAGTTAAGAAATTTTTTTATTTTTTTTTTAAATGTCATTTACTAATTACTGCAACAAGACAATAATAATGAAATAATTAACTTTTTTGTATTTTTTTTCTTATTCTTAATTTATAATTATTAAGAAATGTATTTTTGTTGCGAAGTGCTATGTGCATACATACATATATATGAATATATATGATATTCGTGCTAATGTATATTATGAAATATTTTGCAGTTTTGTTATCTTTGAATTATAAATTAATTGATGAATGTTTTAGATAATGTTGTACAATAAAAAAAAAAATGAAATAAGAAATATAATAAACTAACTAATGGTTACATTTCTTTTAAATGATGTTGTACAATATATCATTTTGCAAATATTTGCATATATATATATATATATATATCTGTATATACAGAAATTAGCAGTAGGAGTTATAAACTTTGGATTATTTATTGTGTATTTTAAATATGCAAATACAATACTTTTAATATATATATATATATATATATATATGAAAATTAACTTGCATCGGAGTAGATAATTAATAAATCAATCGCACTTAAATCAATCACATATAAATGTACGCCCCTTATATCAAACTTGTATGGTTGTTATTAGTTTAAATTATTATTTTATTATAAACTAAACCAGCTATTTTCTTTTACAACTGATAAATAATAATAGTGCAAATATGTGCTCACATATATATAATTAAATCTGGTCAAGTTGAAGACTTAATAGTATTTATACTTGCTAAAAAATAATGTATATAAAATGTTTAATACTTTTTATTAAATGACATTTTTATTAAATTGACTTATACTAAAATAAAAAAGTTATATTCAAATCTAAATCAACTTATAATTTTTTTTCGACAAAACATTTTAAATGATAAATAAATTGTTTATTTATTTTGATAAATAGAAGAACATTTCCACCACAGTGCACAATCGAGGGATTGATTGATTCCCCACACTTTGATTTAAAGTACAACACAAAAGTTATTTTTATTTAAAGTACTTTGTTTTTATATGATACGTAATGTAATGTAATATTTTTAATACGATATTAAAATTATATAAATTTAAATAATTTTATAATTAAATTTTAATTTTAAGCTTTATTTGACTATTGGGATATAATTGATTTTTCAAACTTATAAAACATAACTTTGCCAACATTTAACATTTCATCACACTCAAAGAATTCAATTACCATATTTATTTTATTATAATTTTATTAACATTTTATTAATATTTTTTTATACATGTTTTATTAACAATCACTTTATAAAACAGATATCGTTAAAATTTAATTTAAATTAAACGAAAAATATTTTTCTATGCAATTGTTGCATGTAAAGAAAACTATTAATTGACTTACCTTGTACGCTACTCTGAACATCAATTATTATCAATAATTCTGCTGCTGCGCTGCTTTGCTGCTATGTTGAAAAAAGTTGATTCAATATCATATGTAATGTTATTTATTAGCGGAATCATACGAATTTAAATTTACAGGTTCACGACAAAATTTCAAACATAAAATATAATAACTATTTTATATTTTAACAATTCTATTTAACTATATTGTACAGTTATTTTTACATATTTCAAAATTGTATATTTAAGAAAACCGGCATTTTGTACAATTTTATATACACAGTACAAATTCCGAAAATGGCGTCAATCTTTGATGCGATTAGAAACGAAAATGATTTTAAAAACTATTAATTTAGCTTATATTATTTTAAAACACTCTTTTATCTTTACTACACTTATAATTACAATACGAAATATTCTCTATAATCAATTAATAATTTCAACTTTATAATTAAAATTTGTATGTAAAAATTTTTTCTTTGCTTTACTACAGCGCATATTAATTACAACACTCGCTGGCGGCCTTTCTCTTACTGACATCATGCTGTTATTGTTAATCGCTCCTTTTGCTTTAGCCTTTTTTGTTTTTGTTGTAATCAGATTACCATTTGGGGTAAGGAAACAATTTCTTAGCTGTTGTGCAAAAAAGCTTCGCGGTACAGCGAGTTAGAAAATCAACAGATTTTGATTTTTGAATTGCCTAGTTTTTCATAGTACAAATAAAAAACTATCGTATAAGAAGTTAGAACATTAAAACATTATTTGAATTGGAGGCACTTTAATCAAAATGATTTAATATATAGGGTAGTAATTTTCTATAAAAATTTTAACATTTAATACGTGTTCATAATACTTGGACTAAGACAATACATGCTAATACTAAAAGGCACCTTTTTTATAGGTTATGTTAGGTTATACTAGCGATCCTAAAAATCCACTTAAGCCCTCATTATGGTACCATATAAAACACAGGGATTTAAAAACCAACTTAAATCTTTAGCAAAAGCAATTGTTCAAAACAATTATGAACGAAGTTACTGTGAGTTTGCTTAGTTTAAGTTATTTGAATATTTTTTTATAACTATTAAAAAATATGAAATGTTTGACGTAAATACATTATATAAAAGATATACATAAATATAGTAAACACGCGTATACACAAACACATACACCAGAAAACTTTAAAGTATTTTTATAAAAATTAAAAATCTCTTTAACTCAGGTTTTACTATCAATAGCCATAAAACAAACCTTAAATAAAAAAGATTAAAAATAAATTAAACTCGAAAAATAAATTCAATTCAAAAATACATACAAATAACTATTATTAGATATAATTTTAAGCGGTTCATGCAGCTGCATCGGATATTGGCAAATTTCCGAAGTAAGCCATTCTTCTTTTCTGACATACATATATTGTAGAAATACGAGTAATATTAGCATATTGGGTCAAATTATTGCATTATTGAGTAATATTCACTACTATCAGCGTTATTGGATCGAATTTAATATCCGTTAAAGTCATTTATATAATTGATTCAAGGAAAAATTTATTTCACATGGTACCGTTTGTGAAATGTTTTTGCACTCACTTTACTCTTTTTAAAATGGCTAATATTAGATAGGATGGTAAATAGGTAAATTGTATGATTAAGGAATTTAAAGAGTTTATTAGATTTACTTAGTTTAAATAAGAATGAAACTCTATACCCTTGAAAGTGTGATAAAAGTATAGAATCCAATATCCTTGCAATATAATTTGTAGTAATATCATTCAGTGGAGTTTTAGAAGTAGACTTCAAATGATGTACCTCTACTTAAATGTAAAACACCTTTACCTCTCAAAACCATTTATCTTTGATTACAAAATGTTATTCAGTTATAGCAATTTGTATACTAAGTACAAGTACAATAACAACCAATAGGTTTTTATAAAGCATATGCAAAGCCTTGTACCAGAAACGTTTCGGCACTCTAATTACTTGTATAAACTACTTAATATTTTATAAACATTTGAACATTAGATTTGATAAAGAACAACATTATTCAGTTTTACTAATTTTGCCTATAATACGAAGAATAACAATGCCAATATATTTCAGTCATCCATTTAAGTCCATATTACTGCATAGAACAAGTAAATCACGTTTTAAATATATCGTCTATAGTTCTTCAGATACAATGGGTATATTCGATAGTTTTTTGTTAACAAATGAGAAACCTTGAAAATCTTTACTGTTCTAATGAAGATAAGGTTAAAAAGTTTGAGAGACCGGTCAAGTGTAAAACCTGCACTTTGTTTTTAAATATTTATTCATTAAAAAATAAATAATATTAATTTTTAAATATTATCATATTATTAATATGATAATTTTAACATGCATTTAAAAAGTATATTAAATTTACTTAATTTATTAAAATATAAACTTTATTGAATTTCTGATTATTGCAAAATATAGGTTTATCACATTACATTTAGAGACATCAACTTGTCTTTCCAGGAGACAATTATCTTGAATATGAATCAATTATTTTATTAATTATACACAATTAAATCAGTTAAACAATTAATTATAGTTGTAGTTAGTAAAAGTTTTAATAATGCATTTTTAATTTAAATGGATAGAGCGAAACTAGCCTCAGATGTATTAAGTTATAAGTTAGACTAGATACAATTTTTAATTAAAATAAATTTTGAACCCATATAACTCTAGGCAATCTAAGTGTTATATAATAAGCTAAATATTTTTCAATATAATTAAAATTAATTAGAAATAATAATTATCTACATTTCTCCAAGAGAACTTATAAATTGTGCTGTATATTGCTGTATAACCTTAACTTTTGGTTGTTATTTAAAACATGTGTTCATGTAACAGTTTAAAAACATTAAATATTTAATCGTAGTATTTTTTATTATTTTTTTTTTAAATAAAATGCTTCTAGCTTGTATTAAGAATATCTAACAATTTATAGTTATGATGGTTAGATAATTATATTTAAACCTTGTGACCTCTCATAATGTTTGCCTACCGGTGTTACTGTCCTTGGCTCCACATCGCTTCTTCAATAGTCTCAATTCTTTTTTTTTTCATGTATTCTTATATCCTAGCACAGATAATATAAGCAGAGATCTTTTTTACTGTTTATTCAGAGGATATACCTTATACAATCTTAGGTTTGATTAATGAGGAAGAAACTGAAAGAAGAAATTAAGTTTAATGTAAAATGATATATATTATGTTATATATTATGGCATTAGACATATATATAGATGATTTTATAATATGCCGTGTCGTAACTAAAAT